ACAAACGATTTGACTTTGTAATACTTTAATGATAATAGGATGTATTGTATCGTAATAATTTATCATTTTTAATTTTAAACCATGATAAAGTATTTGAATACAATACCTACTCAATCATTGTATACAGATATAATCGTGTATTGATGCGATTGCGTGATTTTATATTAATTTGTTAACTTTACGAACATATAACATTATTTCAATTTGCAAAAATGTCAATTTATATCGGTAAAGCACGATTCCGTACGTTTTACCTTTTTGAGAACATTATTCCGTACGATTTTGATCAAACAATGGATTGTCAAAATGACCCCAAAAACAACACGATTCCGTACGATTTTATTTGCAATGTTGCCATTTATTATATTTATTTTCAATTTGTTATTTATTTGATTGTCAATAAAAAAAAATTATGGAAATTTGTCAAATAAAAAAATATGTAAAATATAAAAGTATAAGTTGTATAAAAAAATATGTAAAATAATTATTGTAAATTTCCGTTTGTCATAATGCTAGCGTAGCAAATTTGTTGTAAGCATAACCATGCATAAAAACTGAGATAATATACCAATTTATAAGTTACTTCACTAGATACAATTATAGCTAGATACGTAAGTATTATTGACATATGAAATTAAACTGTTCAGTGACGGTTTTTAAAACTGTTTTTAAAACTGCTTACGAATAGTACCTTTGTTTCTAAAATGTGTGCTATTAACTAGGCTGGTAGAAATCTAACTTAAAATACTTGTAAAAGTTTTGATGAGGTCAGAACTCTAATTTTTAAGCTAATAAAGCTACACGTAATCTGCTTAGTGTAAGTTTGCTATGTTATGCACTTGTAAGACGGAGATAAAAAAAATACCAATGTTACGTTATCTTGAGCTTTTGCAGTCAAGTGGGCTCAATGGATAGAAGACATTTTTTATTTTGTTACCTAGCTGAACAAAAATCAACAAATTTTAAACAAACCAKCAAAATAACGTAAATTGTTTGTATTTAGTTTGTATAAGGGGAAAAAGGAATTTATTATGCTTTACTATTTTTAGTTTTCTTATCAGCTATGGTCTGAACAAT